AAAATATCTGCCAGGGGATAGCCCCGGCAGTTCAGTCTTGGTGTCAATCACACTTGAACTCTGGACGCGTCCAATAAACCTGTCTTCTCTCGGAACCTTTGTGGTCTTGGCTCCTTGCCTTTTGTAAGTAGATTGCAAACCTCAAATCTGTTGCAACAAATGCACTTGTTATGCATCCCTTCAATACATGTATGTGGCCTACAAGCTTCTAGCATGTGCCTTTTAAAAAGTTGATGGCTTTATTGAGACCATTCATTCATTCATTCATCCACCTGACAATAGTTCACATTTCTGGTTCTTTTGCATTGGTGCAGAAATCCAAACAATAAAACATGACTAGGAGAGGATATTGGCTTTTTATGGGGATAAAAATCAGGCTGAGCATACTTTCCACCCACAGATTCCTATTTTGGGATAAACCATCTTAAAACTGATCACTGACATAGTATACTTTCCACAATTTCCTTATGTCAGGGATCCGCAACCTTAAACACTTGAAGAGCCACAAAGGTCCTAACCGGAAGCCCCCCATTCAATTCTGGAGTCTCCTCCTAGTGAAGCGTCCTTTTTACTCTGCTGACCGGAATTCTTGTTCCCGACCACCACCATAGAGCCTCCTCCTAGAGTAGCATCCTTCTTCCTTCGCCAACCGGAAGTCCGGTTCCTCCACCATAGAGTCTCCTCCTAGCATGGCGTCCTTTTTCCTCTATCTGTCCTAACCAAAAACCCTATCAATTGAGGAACAGACCGGCGACAGGGAGCCACAGCAGAGGGATGAAAGAGCTGCATGCGGCTCCAGAGTCGCGGGTTGCCGACCCCTGCCTTATGTCTGTGGCACACTGTAGCCTATATTGTTTTAGCTTCCTTGGCCTGCATGTTTCAGGATGCTTTACTCTGCTTTAGATTCTTAAACTGAAGAACGGCATTGTCCAAGGACTTCATCTTCTTTTTGAAGGCAGTTGAAGAATGATGAAAATATTCTACCTAATTTTTATAAGGTTATTGTAATATCATAAAAGGGACCTGCAGATCTCACTACTTTAACCCAAATACTGACAGACCTCAGTCCCAAAGGTGCTTTTTCAAAAGGCAACTGGACTTTCTTTCTTTAAGTCGCTGACTTAAAGGACTGAAGAACTGAAGAAGTTTCTTGGATGAGAAGTGAAAGGTCTTCACAAATGAAGTCGAGTTGCCTTTTGAAAAAGCACCTTTGGGGCAATCATGACCTGGATGACTGAGAATCTCCATAAATCTTTAGCCCTAGTGATACAGAATGCCCCTAACCCATGTTTTTCACCAAGTTAATTTCCTATCGCTTTTTTAATGTACATTAAATTAAGTTTCACAATGTTTTTTTTAAAAATTACTTGACAACCCACATAAAACAGAACCTCCTGGTCTATGTGCATGATGTAACTCCAATCACTTTGCATCATCACCAAGTCCACTTTCACCCTTTGCTGCCCCTCCCTCTGCAAAATTACATACGACCCATATCCATTGAAAGGACCCTAGGATCCTAGGCAATACAAGCAATGCTGACTTACCATTGTAAATACAACTGCACCCAGAACAGCATAAATGGCCTGGAGCCATGGCACCTACAGAGAAAGAGACAGAGCTTTGGGGTCAACCTAATAGGACAGAATTTAATATAATCTATGTGAGGACAGAAATATCCAAATGACTGCTGAAAGAAGGAAGGTTTAGTTGATTCCCAAATAATGAAGAAGAGAAGAGGAAGAATTCTTTATTGGCCAAATGTGATTGGACACACAAAAGGAATGTGTCTCCTGTGCATTATCCAAACTAGAAATGTTTTTTGGAAGAAGGAAAAGAACCTAGTGAGCATAATGACAGGTAGCCTTCTGGGTGAAAAATATAGGGAAGCGGATTCTAACTATCTCTAAGGGTAGGCCCTGGAGTTTTCTTCTTGAAATGGTCACAAATTTTTCCTTCACTAACACAGCAAACAGGGTTAGGGATGCTGTAGTTCATCCTGGACTGGATATTCTGCATTTAACGGGGTCGAGGCCTTGATGGGACCATTATCTTTCTAGTCATTCAATTATTCTGCCTCTTGCAGGACGTCAGGATCTCCTTATGGACAAGTGCCTCCAGAATTCTACTGGTGGCCTTCTCATCCAAATAGGACAAATTAAGGCTACATCTTTCAGTATCTAGTCTCTACTATTTCTATCTTTCTGTGAGTATGTATGTGTAATTAAGGAGCTTCATTGTTTTCATATAGTGAGACTAACAGATTTTAACAGATTAACAGAGTTGGAAAGAACCTTGTAGGTCATCTAGTCCAATCCCCTGCCCAAGCAGGAGATCCTACACCATTTCTGACAAATGGCAGTCCAATCTCTTCTTGAAAGTCTCAANAAAAAGGGCCTGGTATCAAGGCACGGGCTTCATTTCAATTGTGGCTAAGCCTAAAAGTACAGGAGTTACTGAGTGAAACATTTTTATGGCATGAAAATTAACTCTCACCTCCTAATAGCTGTGGATGGAGCTGGGCAGCTATTAAAGAGGCAACTAGAACTGATTTAATAGCTAGCGACCCTAATTTGGATCAAATATTAGCCAAGATATTACAGCATTGAGATATATCAGTCCTTTCAAGCAAAGTAATCAGGTGAATGAGAACTTTTCCTTTCCTTTCTAAACCAGTTGTATAACATATAATATATATAATCAACAGTGGACATATACAGTAGACAACTTCCCCCAACCATAACATGCCAAGACGTAGCATTGAAATATAGAAAATGTCTTTTGATGCAACTGTAAGATAGAATCTGAGCTAGTCATGTTCACTATGTGAAGCTGTTTTGCTATTTCCCCCCCAAAAAAATTTCCCTTTTTCATCCCATTTTCCTTTTTGCAGAATATCTTTGTGTATATATTAGAACAAAGTCCTGAGTATGAACCATGTAGAACTGTGACTTTTATTCTAGACATGCAGATGAAAAAGATAATGACTTGGTTAAATGTTTTCATAATTAAAAAGATGAGAGCATTTCTTCACTGAACATGAATGGATACAAGGGGCATTTTGAAAAGAGCATTGGTGGCTAACTGCATTGGATGCATTCAACTGCTACTCTGAGAATTTGGGATAAACCAATAAAATGGTTTTGATTCATCCCCCCCTCCCACCCCTCAAGGGCAGATGGCTGAGTTTATGGCTAACAGGCCAAGGAAAGCTGGTGCAAAGAAAAAATTACATCCTTTTTGAAAACTGATGCCCATCACCTTCTAGTGGAGACAGGTGGCATAAACATTTAATCAAAAAACAAAATCTCAGGACTCATTTGTCTATATTCTTGTTCTTCCTGTTATACTCAACATGTTCATCTGTAAGCAAACACTATTTGTTGCATTTTTAACCATTCTAATAACAATACATTCTAACCCCCAGAAGGAAGCACATCCATAAAAAATTGGTGGCCATATTTGGTTCTTTGGACAGGCCAACAACACTAGATCAAGTGAGGTTAGAATATCTACACTCCCACCATCGCACGGTCTCTTCCACAAACAGAATCAACCCCCCACAAATGGCCCAAACCCGCTGTGTAATTTTACCTTGGTCCAGAGCAGCAGGCAAGGATCAAATAGGTGATAAAGAAAACGGCACTAGGAGGAGAAAAGAGAGAGAGAGAGAAAGAGAATGAACCAAGAGGACGAGACAAAATCCTGGCTGCTGTTACTCTGAATTTTAAGAGTTTTTTTTTCTCTTAGATGATCATTGGTTAACAAATTCTGAGGAAAAAAGCACTGTATAAATACTAGACATAATAATTCCTTCTATGATCGGGACCTTGATAAGACAAAGGAGCTTGTATGGACTATGCTGTTGGGCATCTATGTGTCCAGAAGGGTCTTCCAAGGTGAAGAGCCAAGGTGGCGCAGTGGTTAAATGCAGCACTGCAGGCTACTGCTAGATCAGCAGGTCAGCGGTTCAAATCTCACCGGNCTCCTTGATCAGTTTCCATCCATTATTCCTTGTCTGGCCCTCAGGTGCCTTGGAAAATACTTTGACCCCTTCCTCTCTGGGGCAGCTCCTCAAATATTGGAACACTGCTATCATGTCTCCCCTGGTCCTTCTCTTCAGTAATTAAAAAGCACCACTAAATTCACTTTGGGCCTGAATAATTCAGGCATGCAAGCAATATTATTTTTCCCATTTTTGCTTCTGTTAATATTTAAGATGAATGTATGACCGGAATGTTATATATTTGTATATAGCTGATAATATCTCATTTGTATATTATCAGGCCTCGTGTAGATGACGGAAGCATACATTCCCCTCAATCAGATTTTGAATAGTTATCACTTTTTAAAACATGTTCAAATAAGTGTGTGTGTGTGGGGGGGGTGTTTGTTGGTTTGTGTGTGTGTATTTTGGAAACCTTTTGTTGTTTTTATAGGGATAGTAAAAAGGATCTGCATAGATCACACGGTAAAGGTTTTATCAGCTTGTTGCATTGGTAGGCAGCAACTATAAATGGGGGATCACATGAGTGGAACTCTTTTATATAAAAAATCTTTCTAGAAAGATTTATTTAAGGTCAAAGACCAAATAAAAATGGGACTTGCTACCTTTTCTTCAAGCAGAAATCACATTAATGAAGAGGACAACTTTCTCTGGGTCAAGCTAGTTCACTGTATCCTGTCTGTTTCTCAACCTCCATTCTTGAATGCATTCAAGCATACCATTTATCATCTTGTGATCAATTGAAACTAACTTCACGTCATGATTTGCTCTAATCTGCAGACTTGCCCAAAGAGACAGTTATGATCAGGAAAAACAACTAGAGAACAAGAATGTGCTGAAAGCCATTTAGAGAAGATGAAATATTGGCAATTCTTTACACGCAAGTTTTTTTTTTTTTAATCATTTGGAGGGGGGGTGTGTGTTTTTTTTTAACAACTGTCATCTTCAACATCCAGGAAAATAAAACAATGCATTTTCATCTAGCCAATTTTTGTTTTCTTATAAGTCTTTCCTATCAGAGATTTAGACTTTAGAAAATTAAGACATACAGAAGTCCAAGATTAGAGGAACAGGCTAAAAACCATTGCTAACCCCCAACTTGTCTGCTGCTTCCTCTGGGGGGTGGCATACTTCTCCATACTCTGTTTTAATTCTAACAAATGAAAAGGAAAGCCGGTCACACTCAATGGCTTGGATATGGTGAAAGGAGTTGGTAAATGCTATTTCCAATCCATCAGTATTTTCAGGGCTTCAAAAATTTCAGCAACTGGTTCTCTGGCTGGTTGCTGGGTGGGCATGGCCTCCTGCACCACGGTGGGGGCCTTTTTGCCTTCCCCAGGCTCTGGAGGCTTTGCTCAAGCCTCCGGGAGGACAAAAACTGCCTCCTCCAGGCTTTGGAGGCTGAAAACAGGCCCATTTCTGGCCTTCCGGAACTTCTGGGTGGCCCATTTTCCTCCCTCCCTGAGCCTCCACACAGGCCCTGAACTTACCTCACATCCAAAACAGGCTGTGTGGAGACTCCAGGGAGAGGAGGGGCAGGGTGGGAGGGGCCAGCCAGTGGTGGGATTTGGAGTTTCTCCGAACCGGCCATAAAATCATTAGCTATGGGTTCTCCTGAACCCAGGTGAACCCATAGCAGCCCATCCCTGAGTATTTTTTTTAATGGACATCTATGGGGAGAAGAAGAAGAAATTGTTTCTCCCAGAACTCAAAAATCCCAGCAATAAAATAATGTAACTCTTTTCTCCCACACACTGTCGGAAGCCTATGGGCATTTTTTTTTAGATATGTTATACTGAGATTAGAAAATCCTCCACTGCAGATGACGTCTTCTGCTACTGCAGAATGATAACAGAAGAATGTGAATGGAAGTTCAAAATGGTTTCCAGAGGGAAACAATTAGCGATGACAAATGATCCCAGCCAACCAAGTTAATGGGAAGCCCAACCCAGCCGAAAAACAAGCAAACAAAGTATGCTTATCAAAGGAGCCTCACCACATAGGCCAGCCCAACGTAAGCTTACCCCCCGCTTTTTCCCCCCATCAATATTTCTCAATATCTAGAAGGCTCCTGTGATAACAAATGGTAGAATAAAAACTCTGTTGTTGGAGAGATGCTAACCTTCCTCCCTGCCTGCATTCTACCTGTTTCTTTCCCTCCCATAATAAATATTTGCCCCATAAGCAATTCAAAACTAAACGCAACCCAGTAACACAACCTGCTACTGCTAAAGTGATAACAAGGCCTAAAACACAGGTAATTGATGTGGCAAAACAAACTGAGATAAGGCTTAGGAGGAAATTACAGTTAGAACATTTAATCAGTGAGACGGCTTGCCTCCCAAAGCTCCAACACTGGAGATTGGACAATCATTTGTCTGAAATGGTATAGGGTTTCCCGTTTCCTTGAGCAGTGGGTTGGACTAGAAGACCTCCAAGATCCCTTCCAAGTCTTTTACTGTATTATTCTGTTACTGAGCGAGAATCAGGGGTGGGTTGCTGCCGGTTCGCTTCATGCGCCAGCCCACCGTGTGTGGCTTGCACATGCGTAGTTGCCTGTTACTTGTTCTGCACATGCGCAGAACATTATAAAAT